GGTCTACTTATCCGCCTCATAAGGTCTGCAAACTTCAACGTGCCTTATATGGTCTTAAACACGCCCCACACACTTGGTTTGCCAAGTTCAGCTCTACTCTTCATGATTATGGTTTCATCTCCAGTTCTTATGATACTGCTCTTTTTGTGCAGAAAACTGCTTAAGGGACCACCCTGCTTCTGCTTTATGTGGATGACATGATTATTACCAGTGATGATGTGGATGGTATTCTTCGCCTCAAACAGTTTCTTAGCCATCATTTCGATATGAAAGACCTTGGTCCTCTCAACTATTTCTTGGGTCTTGAAATCTCTCATGACTCTATGGGTTCGTTTCTCTCTTAGGCTAAGTATACCTCCGATCTTCTTGCTCGTGCTGGTCTTACAGATTGCAAAACTGCCTCCACTCCCCTGGAGACTCAGAGTCATCTTATTCCTCTTGATGGCACTTTACTCTCTGATGCTACTCTGTATCGTCAGCTGGTTGTGTAACAACCCCGGTCCATAATTAGCTACTAATTTGTAGTTAAGAATGCTAACAAAGTGTTTAGAATGGAATTATGTGTTATTATTAATTGTGATATGAGCTTTGTAATAATTTGTGCATATCTATCTGATTTGAAAATTATTTGTCATGATTTCTACTTTGAATCTGAAATTGTTAGCCTAAATGCTTTCAGAAACCGAATTGAGCACATGGATTGACTAATTAGAATTTTTGGAACCATCTGAGAAGTTTTGTTAAAAACGGATTCAGTTTAGTAAAATTGCATGTGATTAAATTAAGCCTTAATTGGAACTATTTTTGAATAATTGAATTTTGTGCTAACCTTGATTAATTAAGGTTACTTGTGTTTGATTTAAATAATGCATGATCGGCACCTAATCTAATCCTATCCATGATCCAAGATGTGATTGAGTGTATGATGTGTTAAGGCATTTGGTGATATTGAATGTAGAGGATTAAAACTCTTGTGGGTGTGTTGGAATAATGCATGTGTGTGCACGTGTATTGTGCTCAATGTGAGAGTGTGTGTGTTGTGTATATTCTGCTGAAGGTTAAGGGAATGCGATATCATTCATTTGGCTTCATTGAGTTCATCAATGTCTTGAGCTAGAGAGAGAGATAACTCATTCTTGAGAGAGAGGCTTGTTTTTGTGCTAGAGATTGAAGAAACAAGGAGGATTCATCTCATATCATCAATGTCTTGAGCTAGAGAGAGAGATAACTCATTCTTGAGAGAGAGGCTTGTTTTTGTGCTAGAGATTGAAAAAATTAGGAGGATTCATCTCATATTTCTGAAATTTAAGCTTTGGGTAAGGATTCTATGTCTAATTTCTGTAGCTATTCCTCCATGCATCTTGTATTAAGAAAATTATTGAATCATCTATTGGAATTTGAAATGAAGATGGGTTTTGAGCAAGAAAGTGGCTTGTATGCATGTTTATGGAAGATTATACCTTGTTCATTCATGTTTTGGGTTTTGGTCTTGAAGGCCTTGCATGCATGTGAACTTTAATCATGTCCATGGTTTCAGAATTCATGAGTTTCTTAATCACTAATTGCATGTTATGAAAAACCATGGAAGAGTTGAAAAATATTGCATGAAGAATTTTTGGTTCAAACCTTTCAAGAATTGACGAGTTTTTGAATAAAAGATGTTTTAAGGGTCTTGTATTGAAGTTTTCTAAAGCTATTTTATGTGTTTGATCAAATCATGCAAGACCCCAAGTTTTGGAAGTTGTTTGGAAGCCATTTTTGTTAAGCTTTATGCCCAGAAATATACAATTGGCTCGAGCGAAGAAGTGGTGGCTTGAGCCAATATTATGAGCTCTCAGAATTTTGAACTCTGCAGAAGATGGCTCGAGCGAAGGAGTTCTGGCTCGAGCGAGCTCTGTTTTTGCCTTCTGCTGGCTCTAGCCAAGAAAAGCTGGCTCTAGCCGCCAACTTATTTTCAGCATGTTTTCAAAAGATGTTTTAAGTACATATCTTCACTCCCATCTCTTTATGGGCATTCTTAGGCATGATTTATGAGCTGTTAAAGATTAATAAGCTAAGAAACAACATAAGTAAGTGAATTAGAAAATATGTGTTGAATCCGAGTATATGGGCAATATGAACAAGTTATGTAGCATGAAATGAAGAGGAAATTAAAGAAAGAAAGCTAAGCCATGTATGACCACATGAATGAGTAATAATGAGACATGTTTTGTGCTATGTACATTTATGTTTGTAGGTCAAGACTCAAAGACTGACCAACCGTTTCTGGAATCCCTTTGTGAGTAACAATGTTGTAAAGCTATGTTAAATTATAATTATTTTCTGAATGATTAACTGTACTATTTTCTGAAATGATATTGTTTACTGAATGAATGTTTGTCCTATTTTATGAACTATACTCGTGGCATCCATAGCAACTGGCTGTTACTGTTACTGTTATTGCTACTGTTACAGAGATCTCTGTCAGTTCCTATCCTTGGAACTACTGTTACTGTATTGATGGGCATCAACTGACTGTTCGGTCAATTAAGACCTACTGTTTACTGTACTGTTCTGCTATTGGATGTACCACATATGATTATTATGATTTCTAATTGACTGATATGGCATGAAATATGAGCCACTGATTGAATAACTGAACTACTGATGTAAATGACTGTTTTAATTACTAAAAGGACATCAATTCTTAACCCCTTTACACAGTTGTTATTTACTGGGCTTTAGCTCACCGTTTTTATATATATATTTATAGGTGAGCGTTCTGGAGGGCAAGTGTAGGAGGGTTTTTACCGAGCCACTGTTTTGAAGCCTACCAAGTGTTTTGGATGCCTTCGAGTTGGGGCTAGGCCTGGAAGGCCGTTAGTAAGCTTTCGGTTATGTTATACATTTTTGACCCGTACATCTGTTTTTGTATAAGATGTTGTGTTATATGTTATGTAATGTAAGTGGGTAAATTAACGCTTTTGCATGTGATTATTTATTCATATAGATGCACAGCTCATTGGACTATTGGTATGTGTTTGTATATTGCTTCCGCAAGCCCCGATTATTTTGATTATACAGGAAGGCCTTTGGTAATCTTGGATTACTGGCCGGTTACGATGCTAAACCTATAGGGGCAGGTTTGGGTCGTGACATGTTGGCAGCCTTGTCTATCTCACTGTTACTCGTCCTGACATTGCCTATGTTGTCCATATTGTCAGCCAGTATATGTCGACTCCTCGTACACCTCATTATGATGCTTTAGTTCGTATCATTCGCTATCTCAAAGGCACCTTGTTTCATGGTCTTCATTATTCCGCCCATTCCTCTCTTTAACTTTGTGCCTTTTCCGATACTGATTGGGTTGGAGATCCTACTGACCGCCGCTCTACTACAGGTTTATGTTTCTTCATAGGTGATTCTCTTATTTCTTGGGGCAGTAAGAAACAATCTCTTACTGCTCGTTCAAGTATAGAAGCCGAATATCGTGCTCTGGCTGATACTACTCAGGAACTTCTCTAGCTTCGTCGGCTTCTTGCTGACATGGATGTTACCCCCTCTGGTGCTACTGACATCTATTGTGACAATCAGAGTACTATTCAGATTGCTCACAATGATGTTTTTCATGATCGCACCAAGTACATTGAGATTAATTGCCATTTTATTCGTCAACATGTCACTCATGGTACTGCTCATCTCCATCCGATCTCTTCTACTAATCAACCTGCTGATATCTTTATCAAAGCTCATCTTCCTGGCCGCTTCATTGAACTTGTTTCCAAACTAAAGTTGGTAGATGTTTATCCTCATTGAGTTTGAGGGGGGCTGTTAATGTATATAGATAGCTATGTATCTGTAGATAGATATGTATATAGATAACTGTGTTTCTGTAGATAGATATGTTTAGATATATATAGATAGCTATGTATCTTAGTCCTTATCTTGTCTTCTTTCTCCTATATAAAGGAGACCATGTACATTGGTTTCAGTATTGAAATAATATATTTCACAGAGACTTTATCTCTCTCTCTCTCTCTCTCTCTCTTAACTCGATTTAACAATATGGTCTTTTAAATTGTTATTATTGTTCTTTTAATTCCAAAATAATAGTTTGGTACTATTGTTCTGTGTTTGGTATGCATTTGGAATCATGATTCCACCCCCATATTTCAAGGGTTTGTATAGGTATAATTTTCAAAACATGATTCCAAATCACATTTCAAAACACATTTGGAAAACATGTTTGGTTACATAGAGTTTTTGAAATTTAAATTTTGAAAATAACAATTTTGGTCCACCTGCTCGTCCTCCCAGACATCCTCTCGGACGTTCGGTCGGTTGACCGGAACAGTGCTCTTTTTTATTTTATTTTTAAACAAAAAAAAATTATTTTTTAATAATATTTTTTTGAATTGAATTTTAAAAGGAGTTTGATTATGAGTTTTGAATAGAATTTTCAATAGAGTTTTGATTTATGTGTTTGGTTATGAGTTATAAGTTTTTGAATTAAGTTTTGAAAACTCTTTTTAAAACTCATAACTAAACGACTTTTCACAAACTCAAAACTCATTTAAAAAATTCAACACTTAATTCAAAATTCAATTAAAAACTCTTTTTAAAACTCATAACTAATCACATTTTTTTTTTAAAATCATAATTCTAAAATTCACAAACTCAAAATATAATTTCACATTCAAATCATAATTCCAAACACAAACCAAACGCTACTTTTAAAATTATACGTATAACTTGAGAATCAAATAATAAAAATAAAAAATAATGCTTTTATGATAAAAAAAAAATAAAGGAAAGAATAACAAATATTTCATAGCCCATGGTGACGGGAAATTTTTTTGAAACCCGAATCGAACCGGCTGGTCGGACCGGGAATCGGGCCTTGTTTCAATCCAGTCAACCCCCTAAAATCGGACTTGGTCCAAAACCGGTGTAGAAATGAAAAACCGGAAGACCCAGCGGTCGAACTGGCAAAATTGGTGACCCGGTCCGGATTTGGAGGGTCGGACCTATGAAGGGCACATGTTCCCCTTGCTTGTTCAGGAGGAACTTGATTTTTGGCCCGAAAAAGACATTCGCCAAAGAATATGGGTATGATCATACGTTGGTCGTGTAAAATTTGATCATTTGATTGATTGATAAAGAAAAACTGATAATAAATAGTACAGTATATAACAAGCTATCATTTGTGTTTGTTTAGATGACCGCGACTGAGGCAAGGGAGGTTTGTCAGCATTGGTGGATGAAGGAAGCCTTAGATAGATTAGTACGACGCCTCACATCTGTGGAAAAGCGCGAAGAGGAAGAAGTAGTAGGACCATGTTCTCTAAGCTAGCTCAGCAAAAATCTTCTAAAATTGTAAATAGGAAATTGTTGAGGGACTCAGACATGGTTAGAGCAGAGGAGGAGTAAGAGTATTAGAATCAGAGCAATCAAGAGAGAGGAACAACAACCCTGTTGAAAGGATTGGATTGGAAGACAAGTAGGAGGAGGAAACTGGGGTTGCTATCTTGTTTCATGTTGTTGGGTGGTTTCTAGTTTTGATGGGTGTTAAAATGATGTACATTAATTTGTTGGAAACCAACATATATATTGATTGAGAATTAGAACCACCACATCTTGAAAACAAATACAGTACATGATATTAGATTCTGACCAGACTTTTGTTAATTGCATTTCCTCATTGTGTTTATTTATTTTTGGGATGGAAGTGGAGATTTATTTTATGAGAAAGGGACTCCATCTGGTCTAATTGGAAAACACTGTATTTTGGGATCATGAACAGCTAAAACAATCCATATTCACAGAGCTTTGAGGAAAGAAGATAATGGTAGCTTTGGTTTCTCGCACTGGAAGGGATTTGCAGCGTTACAACAAAGGCCGTCGCCAAGTCGTTGGGTTCGTCTCTCTCTCTCTCTCTCTCTCTCGTCTATACATACATGGTCAAGTATGTTTGTAATGAAAAAGGAATGAATTGGAGGAATAAGAAATTGAAATTGTATAAAATCAATTAATTTTGGTGAGAGTTTTGGATTCACATGGAATCCAAACAAATTTGAGAAGCTCATTTCAGATGGGTATGATGGCAAAGACAAGATAAATAGAGCATAATTTATATTATAATTTTTTAAAAATTTTTTTTGGAAGGCCTTAATCTATGAGATATACAAATCTTGCATGATGATATGACCCCATGATGATTACAGGGCAAAAAAGAAGAAAGATAGAAATCAATTCTCTTTCTTTCTGAAATTTGGGGATTTATGATATATATATATATATTTTTTCTAAAATTGATTTATAATTTTGAGGTCCTTGTTTGGTGATGTGATATACCCTTTTTGTTTGTGATATTTTGCAGATGCATTCCATATAGATACAGAGTAACAAGTCAAACACCCATTGGGGATGAGGAAAAATTAGAAGTTCTTGTCATTACTTCACAGCGAGAAGGCAAAGGCATGTTGTTCCCAAAGGTAAATTAATCTAATCAGATTACTTCAATTAATTATTTTTTTTCAGAATGATTAGTCAAAATAGATCCATGAGTTAATTGTGCTAATTCATTTAAAAAATGTGATATAATTTATATATATGTGATCAAGATTATCCCCACCATTGTGAATATTAGGGAGGTTGGGAAGCAGACGAATCCATAGTAGACGCAGCTTTGCGAGAGACAGAGGAGGAAGCTGGAGTTGTTGGCACTCTAGAGGTTTCTTCATCTATAAATCTTGCAATATTTCATATTAATTTATACAAATTTGGAGTGTGTGCGCGTGTGAAATGCACCTTCAAAAATACTAAAGTACTATTGTTGCAAGATTTTACAACAATTTGGAGTCCATGTTAGATACAGTTTAAAGTACTCTATATCTTCTTCTTGTTGTTGGCATTGAGATTTGTTCATTCTACCTCCCATTTCACTAGATTTCATTATGAATGTGAATTTTGGTACTGCTTATAACTACTATATTTAATGCCAATTTAGTTTTCCATTTCCTGAATATACAATGATAATTTATTTATTTTCTTTTAATTTTTGCAGGGTACATTGGGTAAATGGTGTTTCAAGAGCAAAACCCAAGATGAATACTATGAAGGGCACATGTTCCCCTTGCTTGTTCAGGAGGAACTTGATTTTTGGCCCGAAAAAGACATTCGCCAAAGAATATGGGTATGATCATATGTTGGTCGTGTAAAATTTGATCATTTGATTGACTGATAAAGAAAAACTGATAATTAATAGTATAGTATATAACAAGCTATCATTTGTGTTTGTTTAGATGACCGCGACTGAGGCAAGGGAGGTTTGTCAGCATTGGTGGATGAAGGAAGCCTTAGATAGATTAGTACGACGCCTCACATCTGTGGAAAAGCGCGAAGAGGAAGAAGTAGTAGGACCATGTTCTCTAAGCTAGCTCAGCAAAAATTTCTAAAATTGTAAATAGGAAATTGTTGAGGGACTCAGACATGGTTAGAGCAGAGGAGGAGTAAGAGTATTAGAATCAGAGCAATCAAGAGAGAGGAACAACAACCCTGTTGAAAGGATTGGATTGGAAGACAAGTAGGAGGAGGAAACTGGGGTTGCTATCTTGTTTCATGTTGTTGGGTGGTTTCTAGTTTTGATGGGTGTTAAAATGATGTACATTAATTTGTTGGAAACCAACATATATATTGATTGAGAATTAGAACCACCACATCTTGAAAACAAATACAGTACATGATATTAGATTCTGACCAGAAAGTTGTTAATTGCATTTCCTCATTGTGTTTATTTATTTTTGGGATGGAAGTGGAGATTTATTTTATGAGAAAGGGACTCCATCTGGTCTAATTGGAAAACACTGTATTTTGGGATCATGAACAGCTAAAACAATCCATATTCCATATAATAAGTCTAATAATACAAAAAGAAAATATAAAATTGAATACAGAAAATACATAGGTAAATGGAATTTTATTAGATTTGTCTGGTGGGCTTATTTAAGTTTATTTTTTTGTTATTTATTTATTGAATACAGAAAATACATGGGCAAATGATGTCAAATGTTATTTGTTTTTTTTACATGTTTTAGTTTACCAGGGGTTATATTTTGGCCATATGTGCCATTTGTTTTGTGGGGCATGGTATATAAAACATCTAAGAAAAAATTTAGAATAATTTGATATTCATAATTACATGATTTTATTACATTTGTATTGAAAAAGTATAATATAAAAAATAATCCTCTATTTTTTGACAAATACAATAAAATTATATGACTATTATAGATTAATTCAAAATCCAGGCAGTGTTTTGAAACTGCTAGATTTTCATACATCTAATTTAAGCATACATGTACTTTGAAAAAATCAAAAACAATAATAATAAAAAAGTAAAATTATAGATAGAACAAAAGCTGTTCCTGGACCAATCAAAGTGTAAGGACACAAATGAAAACATATCATGGATGCTTCAAAATTACATTTAAACGTAGTTGAGGACATAATATAATATGATAAAACATAAATCAGAAGCTACTAATTCATGTCAATATTATTAAAGCTTTATACTACAAACCCTAATTTTCAATCACTTTTACCTTTCTTGCTTTTTTCATCAAATACCTTGATTTCTTTTTGACAAACTTTCTTTGCCTTTCTTTGTCTCTACAAACTTTACGAGTAATGGAAGACAACTCCAAACCTTCATTCATAAACACATCCATAATGATAGAGTCTTCGGCATGAGCAGCCTCAGTTTTCTCCTGTTTGATTAGATCATCTACTATTTTCTGTTGGGCGAGATATTGTTGGTTTAAAACGTCAACCAATTTACACTCAGTGAGATGAAGTTTAAGCCTAAACTCATTCATGACAGAATGAATATCCAACTCCATAAACTCTGCCGGACTCCATGATGATCGGTCAAGTTCAAAGATCAAATCATTTATATTGCGAAGTCGATACCTCAAATCATATATGCCATTACCAAGTAGCAAGATCAAATCCTCGAGGCCAAATGTCTCAGCCATTCTCACTATCGTTCTTGTAACCTACCTCCCAACTTAAATATAAACAAATTAGGGTTTGATCAAAGATTTTAATCTTGGAATTCCCTAGTTAGGCCAAGTTTGGCTATCCTAAATAAGTATACACTTTTTATCTTTTTTTCATCATATTATCTCTCTACTTTTCTGCACATCTTTTCGTAAAAAGACAAAAAATATACTTATTTAGGTCATCCCAAACAACCCCTTAATCAATGGACAGAATTTTGGTTACCTATCTAATCGGAATTGGGGATGCTTATAGCACAGCAGCTTGCTATGAGGCTCATCGAGAGCTTTTCCTAAAAATATTTTGATGATTCGACCCATTCAGATTGTAGGATTCGTCGAGTAAATCATTAATGTAAAAAATTAGGTTAATTGAACATCTATAGGTCCATAACAAGACCACATTTGTTTTTACAAAAATAAACAATTAATATGTTTTGATAATTTTTTAAAAAATAATAAGGACTTGATTATGAAACTATTGATATTTGATTAACATACTTTTTTCATGAATAGTATGTTTGACGAACCTTACAATATAAACGATTTAGATCATCCAAATATGTTCCAAAAAAGCTCCCATTGAGCATCACAACAGGGATGCTGTGCTTTATGGTGCAATAGCATTCCCGTATCCCTATCTAATCCCATATACCATGTGGGATAATTATTAACACATCTTCTTGATCGGACTTATTTATTCATAAGTTCTTAATGATTATTATTATTTTTTTAATGTATTTGTCTCTTGTTTTAATAATTTAAAAAAATGAGATTTTTTAGATGTATTTCATATTTTTGGAATGATTATTTGGTACTAATAAATTTATTAAAGTGATAAATAGTTGGGACGTTTTTACTTTTATTTGTGAGTTTTGTTTAATTTTTAATTTATTTTTATTAGTTTCTATTGAAATATGATATAAAAAGTATAAGTATTTGAATTATATTTTGTTAAAAATATTTTTAAATCAGAGTAACACTTTATGATAAATAAGTCCGATACATAGGACTTACTTGTAACTCCACCTCTAATATATCCAACAGTATTAAAATTAGTTTATCTTATTGCTAAAAATAATTTTAAAAACAGGTCCTGCTTAATTTTAAATTATCCCAAACTTGTTTTTGCCTTTTAAACCTAAAATCCCCAAAACCATACAAAAATTGGATTCAACCCAGGTTCATTTTTGGGCTGCGGAGCCGGACTGGCCATGGAGGCTCATTTTTGGGCTCAGAATCTGCTTGACCAATTTTTCAGTTATTTTATTTTATTTTTATTTCAACTATCTAAAATTGGATAATTATCACTTAAATTAACCTTTATGAAGCTAAACACCTTATTTATTTATTTTTTCCTATCTCACTTTTCTTATTTCTCATTTTAGTAACACCATTTTGCCCAACTATAGCACCACTCTCTTCCACTCTCTATCAATACCACCGTCATTACTGTTTACAAGTATTTATTGTGTCGCCAAGAAAGGTTTGGAGAATATAGTAGTGGCGTAAAAAGAGAGATTGGGTGATGGGTGGATGAAAATGAGAGTTGCATGATAATTCCATTTTGATATTAGAGGATATTTGTATACTTTTTTTTTATTTATTAAGTCAACT